AATAAATTATAGTTATTATTCTAATATATCTTAATAAATTGAATGAAATGTATTTGTATCTGTTAATTGCAACATGATAATTAGATTGTCATCTCACTAACATGGTAAACCAGTTCACTATATCAGGTGCTCAGTTGGAATGAATTTAATTTTGGTCATCTCACATTAGGAAAAATGTTGAGTTGGAAAACTCAGACACAACTACAGTAAAGAAAGTGTTATTTTTCAAACAGATTGTCCCCCAATTAATTTCCATGCTGGGTCACTTCAGATGATGACCATAAAGCCAAGGGCTGGGCCAGGTTGATATTGCAGTGGAATACATCATTGTTTACTCTTGATAATTACAGTAGTTAACAATGCAGTGTTTGATAATAATGGAGGCCATGAATCAGACTTTTGAGGGCCCAACGTGGCCCATGAGCTATCTATTGGAGACCTCTGGCCTACTAAATAGCTGGGCTTCTGATGCTTTTGAAGGTTGTAACATTAAAGGAATTTAAAAGGAGATTAGAGGAGAATATTGGAGATCAGGATTGGATATAAGAATAGGGGTTTCTATATACAGTTTGAATTATGGTGGTAGTAGGAAATATGAAAGCCTAGCTTAGGCAAATGGTTCTGAGGGATAACAAAGAAGCATTTGCCTAAGCTAGGCTTTCATATTTTGAAATTAGATAATGACTGAAATGTGACTTTCGAATATAACATTAACTCAAAAACATTTGCACTTATAATAAAGCACAAGTTATCAAATTTGAGTCACATCTCTAATATCTCTTAAGAAGTTGAATAGATTGTATTTGTATCAAGTAACTAGATTATGTCATCACACTTATATGTATATAAATATCACAATACCAAATTATATTTATTTATATCTACGTTCAGAAGCACGATATCAAAACTAAATTGCCACCATTATGTACCCTAATGCAGTGAATGAAACATTCATATTTACAATCTGAAAAAGATAATAAAGATGATGTCATGAGCTTAACAATTTAAAGCTTGGTGGCATATATATCTATTTATATATGAAAGAAATGTAAAAATATTTGGATGAAATAAAGTTTAAACTTTTTCATATTTGATATTTTTATCTATTTAAAAATCTAAGAAAATGGGCAAGGTTAGCACTTACAGAAAATTAACTGTTATTGACAGCTGTTTATGCTGTACCCATGAGAACGATGACTTACGATGATTAAATGCAAATAAATCTTTTCCAAGCTCAAACTTAAGTTCTAATCATATACATTAACTGAAGTACTAATATTATATTACTCCACAGAATCCCAAACACTCTTTGCTACATATACTGATTAAAAATATTAAACTTAAATTAGAGAAAAGTTAGTCATAAGTTTTGATACTTAAAAAATTAATCAAAACTTGTTAAACCAAATTCGTTATGGGAAAATTACTAGAATAGTTACAAATTTACTTCAATAGCATCATGAAAATAGTACCAACAGGCTTTTTTAGGGTGCAAGCTTTTCTACTGAGTTACATACAAATGTTCTCTCATATCTAGCTTATATAAAACTCATACATAGGCTTTGATATCCTACTAAACAACCATCTTAGAACAACATAAATGACCATGACCAGTCCAACTAATTTACCACAAAGCTAACAAAAATATAAGATGAGGTGGTCTCTGAAACAACAATATTGTAATTTTTAGCAGAGTACCATCGATACTGATCCTTATAAATAATGAAGATTAAACAGCTTATTTGGTTTTCTCAATTTATATGATTAAACTGCCATGGTTTTAAAATAATACTACAATATGACAAACCCTGTTGCGATTTGTTTGTGTATCAATCTCAAGTTCTCACAGCCTGTTGACACTTCTGTTAGTTGTTTTGTTATTTATTCATATTAATTTTTGGTACTTGGATTAACTGAGTAACAAAAGTCACATGAAAATAACTCTTCAGCACTATTCTCATGATGCTTTGAAAATAAAATCATCCTTCAATTTGTTCACATAAGCTACAAAATAACTTCAGTAAGTCTATTGCACAAGGGTTTTAAAAGGTTATAAATTATTTGTCCTTAAAATGTACTATACACAATGCTAGTTTAGAGAATTAGAGTTCTAACTTAACATAATAAAACTACACAGCCCAAACATAGTAATAAATTAATGATATTAGATAAATACACAAGTAAAACTTGTATCCATATAAACTTCTTGTTGTTACACAATAGTCAATCTAAACTAAGTTAATGATATGTTTCTGTATGAGTGGTCACTTCCAAGAATTTAAAGACTAAATAGTTTCTGTTGCAAAATCAAAAACTAGGATAACTTGATTAGAAGAACTAAGGAAATACAAAAGATCATATTCATATACATGATCTTTTCATGGCTTAGTACTTAAAAAGTAAACGTCTACATATTTATCCCTCATCAGCACACCTTTGAAAAGTTACATTGTGGAACACCTGGGGCCAAACCAGACCCTAGCACTAAATTACCATGATAGTAAGCTCTGGATTGAAATTCCAAAAACCAATTGCATTACAACTTTTATTAGAGTTAGCATGCAATGTGAACAACATAAAAATATATGTATTCTAGAGGAAATACGTTGACAAATCAAGAAATTACAAAATTACATTGTTCATCAGTATACAAGTAAGTAGAATCAAACCATTCCTTATACAAACAATGTATCAAAAAAATGCCAAAGTTTTATTATACTCCTGTATTCAAATCATTATCCACCAATATATATAAGACTACCACAATACTGCAAAATTCAACTAATAAAAAAACTGAAAGTATATGTTGTGATGTCACCTTGGATCTCAACACAAATGTATTCTTATAGGAGGCTATGGATTGAAAATCCAATAAGCAGGTCATTTACAACAATTATCAAACAAGGTTTCTATAAAATAGGCATCATAAGCAGTCATCATAGAGAACACTTGTTGGGGAATGAGATGTACATACACGTTTACTACAATGATATTATAAGACGAGATGATACTGTACTATTTTGATGAATTATCCACTAAAACAGCCTATATGGTAAAGTACACGCTTAGAAATTTGTTTCTTATGCTATAGGGCAAACTGCATATATAGTGATGGTCAATGATAATATGAGGTCCGCATGGACCCCACATAAATATTAGATTGTAGCTATGTACTCCATATGCCTGTTTTGAAAACAATAGTGTCATATTGATCCAGGGTTCATGCTTGACAATTACATAAATTTATGTAAATTTCTAATGATTATGTAAAAAGATACACAACCAAGAAAGCCATTGGGGTTCACGTGGACCCTAGGTGTGCTGACGTGGGTTAAAAAATTAAAAACAACTACTGAGAAAGACTAGTAACAACAAATATCTTAAAAAAAACATAGCATGAATTTGAAATTTGTCATTAAACCATACATTTGTAAACTTATTAGGTTGATTTCTGATTGTAATGGTTAAAAACATTTCTTATGACTTTATTGTAAATATAACTATAATTTTTATATTACACAGAGTTCTAACTTTAATGCAAAATCAAATACCCTTCTTTTCTATACTGATTATTCAATGGTGACTTTCTTTCCTGAACATGAAAACTGAATGCACTCAAATATTTCTTTAATCAAACAGAAATATAAAAAACAAAGAATGCTGTAATGGAAAAAGAAACATGTGGTCAGTGTTTCGTCCAGGACTAAATGCAGGTTGTTTGGCCACAACAGTGACAAGATATTTTCTTTTCCCTTACATGATTTTAATCATTTTTTTTAATATACATATTTGATCATGCTGTAGTTAAAACATAAGTAATTAGCTAAAGAGATTCAACATTTGATACCAGCTTTTCACACTGTTTTAGAATGTTATGTTTATAATTAAAATGTTACTTGTCTTGCTAAGGCAAAGTTTTTCAAAAAATACAAAGGATATATATATATATATATATAAAACCTAGATAATGCCGGTCGACTCCTTTTCCATTTAATACTTAACTGGTCAAATCCACTATCTGAGACCCAGGTGAGTTGCTGTTGGCTAAGGGTACCACTAGATGTATCATGTATGGGGGAGGATGGAGAAAAACTACATGTGCTATCAGAGCTAATATGAAAACTTCTGTTATGATAACAGCAGAACTTATATCTAAAGAAAACAAAAAAGACAAAACTTACTATCAGTTCAATATGCAATATAGCACACAAACTTCAGAAAAAAAGCAAACATTATTTGTTTAATATGTACAGCTTACTGCACAATCTGAACATAAAAATTACAAGAAGGATTAATAAAAGTGTACCTTCTAGAGTAAAATCTCCAAACATTTTAGTATTTATACGATGCATAAAATTGACTATGCATACTTCTGGACACAAATTAATAAATTAAAGTATGTACAGCCTACAGGATACTCTGCATATAAAGTGTACCGAGTCAAACTTGCATTGAAATCTTTACAGTCTGAATGTACAAGTAACGTACCTGCTATGGAGTATAACTTTTCAATAATCAAACACTGAACAAATTTCAAATACACTTAAGTAGTTATTATTAAAGAACAAAAAAATAAATTAATAAAATTACTTTAAACAGCATCTATAGACTTTAGATTAAAATACTCGTTTCTTATGCTTGTGCTTGTTTAGCAGCTGAATGAATACATTTGTTGTCTGTCACTACAGTTTTTATACCAGCATTGTTATATTAAATGAATGTCACTGTTGTTGTTTCTTCAATTAATGGTATGCCTAGGGAATGAACATATTTATTGCATAAGATTTGTTCATTCTGTCACTATTGTGTATTCCACTGTTTGTATTTCAATGGAATAAACATATCTGTAACATTAAATTTGTTCATCTAGACACCAGTAGCAGACTAACAGGAGGTTGAGATGGAGCTGCTGTCCAGGGGCTCCCCCAAGGCAAATGGAGCCCCCAAAAATTTTAGGCTAGGATACTGTATGTAAAAAGAGTGTTGTTGAAAAAGAAAACAATTATTAGAAAGGAAATGAGTTTTTAATTTTTTTTTTAAATTGGGAGTGTTATTTGAAATGTTATCATAGTTAAGAATAAATAATTTTTTCTAGCAAGATTTATGTTGTTAAAATAGAATTAACAATTGAAAAAGTACATATACAAAAAAAAAGGAATTTAATTACAAATATACACGCATCTGTAGACCAAGGCGCATATTTAACCATGAAGTAATGCTTGTTTTGTACAACAAAAATAATATGCATGAGAGGACCCAATATTATTAACTTTCCCAAGCCCCGAGGTGTTTTAATCTGCCAATGCTTGTCACTGTTCGTATGTCAAGGGAATAAACACAATTGTTAGAAAGTTACAATTATGCATTTATTCTATCAGCATACAGTTATACAAGGTTTATCACGCTAGCCGATCCTAATTTTGAGGTGAGAAACTAGAGAGAAGGCAGTTAATCAGCATGGTTAACTTTTGGCAGACTGATTAGTGATTATTAAACCGTCACTCATGTAACACATCCACAGCCTCAAATTAAGGAGCTCTATTTTTTTTTTTGTGGTAATAGGATGTCAATGGAGGAAACTCAGCTCCACGGTTTCACATGCTAACCACTAATAAAGCCAGGCTTGGCCTGTGAATTTTGAAATGTAAGTTGAGAGTACTAAAGTAAATGTTCAATTAAGCTATCAATGAAAAGTATATGGTAAATGAAGAGTTCCAAAGCAGATGTCAGTTGGAAATAAGCACATACACATTTATTTACAAAAAATACACATCTTTATATTTTTACTTTCTTAATTTTTGAAATTAATTTATGTAACAATATCAAATGGTTTACATTAATCTTTCACTATATCACTGTAGTTTAGGTGACTAGTGCTTTGAGTGAAAAAGAAGTTAAATGTTGTCATATTCCTTCCTTTTTTTTAAGTAAAATTATTATATTTCCATGCTCTAAGTGTCTTTTCCTGCCTCTTTTTTTTTAATAGGGGCAAAGAGGTAATTTGGGTAAGATGTCTAAGATGTTTCTTAAATGATTTTTTTGTTGAAGATAGTAGGTAAAAAATATATTGCTCATCAACAGCACCAGCATAAATGTTAACATTTTTGTTACCTGAAAATGTATTTCCAACACACACTCACCTCTTCACACAGTTTAACTATCTTCTTCAGCCCTTCAGTGCATCTGCCAAAGAGATTTGCATGACACTAGCCTCGAGTCAACTCCAGCTTAATTTCATGTAATTTTACATTAATTGCACTACAGCATGATAATGTCATTATGTAACAAAAACTCTCCACCAATAGGAGGGTGAAACACCTCAATGCACAATAACCCCCCCCCCCCTCCCTATATGCTTGCTCTTGTGGAACTTCATTCTCCAAAGAGGCAAGTAAGAAATGTGTGCACTGAAAGTGAGGAAGATGGATGGGAATGTGTGGGGAATGTGTGTAGAGGTATCTATTGGAAATACATAGGAAAGGGAAGAGGCAAAAAAGCCAGAGTTGTGTCACAGGGAAAGATGAAATTGGTAAATGGCCATTTGAGTACTTGCAAACAAGTTATTGGACAGCCAAGATGTTTGGTATGGTTAGGGCTCATTCAGAGTGTACTCAACTTAACTCCGATATCAGCATTGATAAATCAAAATCAGTTGTGGGGTAAGGACATAAGTTATAAGTATCTGTTCTCACCTCCAGTTGTAGAAGGAGGGCTTTTTTTATTATACAGGGTAGCCGAAAAATGCAGCCACATTTCGAACGCTCGTACGACTATAGTAAATGAACCTAAAAGCCAGCAAAGCATCCTTATCTAATATTTCATATAACAAATTAACTGAACATACACTACTGCATCATTTGAGATGCTCATACTGGGCTCCATCAGTATTCAAACAATCATGATATCTACAATGGAGTGCCTGACATGCTGTTGCACAATTTTCAAATCTGATTTAATGGAAAGCATTTGTGATCTGTTGCTTTAATTTGTCAATGTTTTTGGGTTTATATTTATACATCCTCCAATATCATCTGAAATAAAAATAAAACGTTTAGAATCAATATACAGGAGTTGCATAACTTAAAGGATCAATACATTTTTTTGAGGGGGGGCCACCCTGTATATAGTATGCATACTTATACACCTCAACTTGACTGTCAGCCTCTACAGGCCCAATACCAGCTGCAGGAGAAAGGTACGTGAGAGATATGTCACAGGTATGTATGGAACTTACACAAGCTGCAAGCAGAGGGCACATTTGTTATGTAGTAAGAACCAGTATTCAGCGTACTTATCTCAACTATACTGAATAGACAGTGACTGCAGCAGAATGATATGAGATATAAATGTTTATTGGTTTTGAATACTGAGTGCTCACCGTTACTCAACTGAACAGAATTTATAGGATAGACATGTGTGTGTACTCAACTTAACAAAACCAGCTGTGGAGTAAGGACATAAGTTATAAGTATCTGTTTTGACCTCAACTTTACCATGCAGATTCTGGGTAAGTTTACCCTGTATGGCAATACTGGCCACCTAGTGGGGTTCTATGGAATGAATGAGGGGCCCTGAAAAGGAAAGAGTAGATATTTTACTAAAAAAATATGAGACAATGGACCTGAGACAGAAGGTATAGAGATGGTGGAAGAAAGCACTGTATTATGCAGCATTGGTTCATATGTAGTGCATGCCCACTTCAACTCTACTAAACAAGCTCTGGTCACAGGAGGAGGGCACAGTCATTTATTATGTGCTCATCTCAACTCTACTGGTCAGACTCAGACTACAGGAAGAGAGCACATGTAGTATGAGTGATGTATCTAAATTATATGTGGAGTGATCCACACAACACAACAGTGTCACCACTTTTCTTCTCACCACATTGGCACCCCTTTTTCTAGCCCCAGAAGTGTTAGGTCCCAATCTGTGAGAATTCTCCATGATTCACCACCCCAGTGGCTAGGAACTGGTAAGTGGCAAGTGTCTCCTATACTCCATTCAACAAGGAGTGTGAGAGGGGGACCTGGAGAAGGTGCCTGGATCCCAATTGGTTCCTCAGTCCAAAATGGTCTTTCACTGGAGATAGTGCAACAAGTGACCTCAAAAACCCTATTTTTAAAAGTCAGCAAGTCCAAATCAGAGATGTGGACAGAAAAACCTCTCTGGTACTGGCTTTTTCTATGATAGTCCATGGAATAGGTGCAGTCTGGATTGGACAATTGAGTAAATATATATATATATATACGCACACACACAGATTCAATGAAGATTCTGGGTAAGTATACCCTGTAAGGCAATACTAGCCACCTAGTGGGGTCCTATGGAATGAATGAGGGGCACTGAAAAGGAAACAGTAGATATTCTACTACAAAAATTGTGAAGCAATGGACCTGAGACAGAAGATATAGAGAAGGAGATGAGTGTGTAGAGAGTCCACATGCCTTCCTGGAGAAGCTCAACCATGAACTGACAAGAAAAGATGGAAGAGAATGAAAACTGTGATGAACAGAATGCAAGCATCCACATCCCGAGACAATCATGCCAACAGAGCAGTCAACAAGGTCTCAGTCATGAAAGAGAGCAGGGCAAAGAGAAGGAAGGAGAAGAATGGAGATGCGAGGTCATCAGAAAAAACACCTCTTGGTACAGGGAAAGAAGAAAGGCCATGGATGGGGCTGCCTGACAACTAGGAAAGGCTAAGACCAAGAATCCATCAATGAACAGTCAGGTATGAAAGAAATTGCACAGAATTACCTTCAGAAGGAAATGGATGATGAAAGGACCAATGACAAAAGACCTGCTACAGATGGTAAGTGACATATATAGTGGAAGGATGACAAGAATGTAATGAGAATAATGTCACATTAGTGGAAAATCTGGCCCAATGGGCAACAGATTAGGCATATTCCATATTTGAGGGCAAAGAAAGGATAATCCTCTATGATGAAGGAAAATACGATAATGTGAAGCAGGAGAGAGAGTACATAATGGGGAGCAGATGGGGGCTGACTATCAAGTGGATCAAGGCTAAGACAGTCTGAGAGGCATAAACAAAAGGGTCCAAGATGGATAGTAGTTTATAAATATGAGGTCCAGAAGGAGGAGATGAATAGGAGAGTATGTATAGAGAAATCAATAAGAAAAGGCCTGGTTGAGAAAAATTACACTCAGAGCCAAAGGATGAGGATTAGAAGACCGTAAGAGAGGAAGCCTAGAATTGATAAGGGTGGCAAAGGCATCCAAGAGGGACATATCTAACAAAGAGCAAACCCCATGGAACATCTAAGGGTGTGGAAGCTACACTAATGACAGAATAACTACTGGCTGAGAAAGACAGACTGCCAACAAGATGGAAACTCCCAGAAAATGACATGAATGAGCACTGAAGTGTAGAGTTAGAGCCTGAAAACAAAAAGGCCCTGGAAGAGGAGCCACAAGGACGGTTGGAGCATGAAAAGGCTGTGCAAAATATTTAGAGGAACATGATCAAGTAAACCCCCAGTAGAAGGAGGAGTGGGTACATGTACGAAAAGAAAGTCAAGCACATTGATGAGGAGTGGACTCTAGTACAGCATCCAAACGTACCTCAATCAGAGAGAGAGAAGCATCAACGATGGGGAGATCTGGTTTGAGAGTTGATAAGAGAATGATGTATAGTAAGATGGGCAGTTCAGTCACTGTGATAATTCCCAGAGGATAGGTTCAGAAAAGAGGTCAAAGGACCCCAAGAAAGAGAATCCTGGTCAACAAGGTCCACTGTAGAAGCCACATGAGTGTATGCCCCAAAGGAAAGAGAAGTTCTAGAGAACTCAGAGTCTCGAAAAAGGAAAAAAACTCTCATGCATGGAGAGAACAAGAAGTGGAAACCTAGTGACCAGACATGTTATAATTTGCAGGCAAAGAAGATAGGCTGAACTTGATTGAAACGAGAAAAAGGAAATGCCCCAAAGTATCCAATATTGAGTGAGTATGACAAAGGGCTTAGATCCCAAGAAAAGTCTCCCTCCAAAGTTGGGGCAGCTACTATAAAAAGAGGGAGGTAGGAGAAGTAGAAACATCCAAAAATGGGTCAGCAAGTATAAACAGACAAAGAATAGGAATGCCAGCCATAGACTGTGAATGTGGCAAGCAAAGTCCCTTAGAATATCAATGAATACAAGAGGAGCCAAAGCTAAGACAAAGGAAAAAGCAAGTAATGAGAAGACACAAAAAAGATGAACAAGACAGAGAAAACAAAGAGAGAATGGGCCAAGAAGAAAGTATAGGAAGGTGTTCGACACACTGACCATGTATAACTGCAGAACAAGTGAAAAGACCACAGATGGGGGTTGGAGGTAGGAGAAAGGGAAATGGGAAGAAAGATGAAGATAAGAAAAGTAGGAAAGAGACTAAGGTGGAGAAATGGAAAATGACTGTCAGCAGAAATTTAAACCAACAGCAGGAGAAGAAAAAGTTACCCACACAACTGTACACCCAAAATGCCTCATCCCCCTCACATTTTTGTTCAGTTTTGTCTACTTTCTTTCCCAATTCCCTATCATTGGTATCTCTCTGACCAGCTTGGGGATCAGGCCTCGTACATTCTATTTCACTTTCTAGTTTCCTATCTTCACAGTTCTCATTTTTTTTCTCTATACCCTTCTGTGTTCGCTCTCCTACTTCCACCCTTTATCTGTGGCACTTCTTTGTGCTTCTGATGTCTTTTGTGGACATTTGTTGCCTTTTCTGTTTGGCTTGTTCCACTTCTTCTGCTCTATCTCTCTGTACTTTGTTGCCTTGTTGTTGGAACTCATTTGATAGGGTTCCATTTGTCTTTACTGTGTCCCTTTCTTCTTCTCGTACTTATTATTCATCTGGCTCCTTTTCTTTGCCCAGATGTCTTCAGTAGGGTTCTTTTCCCACATGGTGACCTGATTTGATATTATATGACTTCCGTCCTCATTCTATTATCATGTTTTTTTCTTCTTTCTCAAACTTTTCCTTTACTTATATTCTTCATCTAGATTAGTCTGCTTTTCACCTTTCCATCCCAGTTTCCAGGCCATCCTATTTTTCTTGTCTTCCCTCTACCAGCAGTCTCATTTGTCACTCTTCTTGCCAGTGACTATCACATCATAAGAAAGGAAACAGTATAAATTATAATAACAAGCAATAAGAAACACAAGATAAACCCAAGAATCATGGGTCAGGAAATGAGAAAATAAAAAATAATAGAGAACACAAGCAAAAGAGAAGGAGAGGAACATACCTGAAAATGAAATTCAGAAACAAATGGAAAGGTTAGGGTCATTTTACGAATGGCAAAGTATTACCCAACTTGCTGAACAATGGTTGCAACAAACCTAACAGTTAATGGGTGTCCAAAAACCACAGAAGAAATAAGGCCTAAGTGTGAACAATGTCCCACACTCAGAACTAAGTACAAATCACTATCATTTGAGAAGTCATGATAAAAAATTAAAGCTAAAGAAAATGAAAATGAAAGCTTAATTAACAATGTAAATCTCAATAAATGGAATACAGATAAGAAATCTTACAACATCTGATCAATATAGTGCCAAAGAGAAGAATGATGTTTCATGAGAGCAAGCACATAGAGGAAGTTATTGCACATGGGGATGTGTCACCCTTCTATTGGTGGCAGACTTTTGTCACATCATGAAATTATCATGCAGTAGCACAATTCACATGAAATTAGATGGGATTTGCCTCAAAGCTATGGCATGCTTTGGCAGATACGCTGTAGGGCTGAAGAAGATAGCTAAGCTGTGTATTGAGGTGAGTTATCATCTAGTGCTTTTATCTATATCCTCTTTATTGCAGGTTTCACAAAACAAGTTAATAGTTATTCTATACCTACAGCCTACTTTACACAAATGTCAGGAGCAAACTTCAGTGATACATGTTTCTATACAATATATATATATATATATATTGTTTTACAATAAAAGATTTAGGGCAAGTTATTGACATTCCAAACTATAAAGTTTACTGCATGATCTTTAAAAGAGACAAGGCAGCACAGAACACCTATAGTCTATCACTGTCTGAAAAATGGTTTTACATAAAATTATAGCCCATAGATTGGGAATAATAAGAAGAAGAATGATAATGTTAACTTGATACCTACAATGCCCAGTGATGGCAGAAGAGATTGGATAAAAACATGGAAATGCTCCTGCTTGTCCAACTACATCAAAAATGATGAGCTGAATACGAATAAGTATGAAACTGGCTTGCAGTACGGTAAACTTGTGAATAATTTTGAAATCTTTCATTGGGGCAGCAGCTGTCCTACTGAAAACCATCAAGCCATACACACCAAACATTATAGACACAGAACTGATGGTAGAGATGTACAGTGCTGCATTATATGGAGACAGGTTCTTGAAAAAAAAAAGAAACATTTCATAATAGATTTGCTGTTAGTTTATATATACTGAACAGTTGCAAGAAATACAAACAAGTAGAAGATGATTAAAGTATAAAAGAATTAATTAACCCTTTATCATCTCCACCAATATATTTACACATGCTAGACATCATCATTGCTATATACGTACCATTTAAATGCTTCGTACCTGCTTTGTTGTGGTCAAACTGTTGCTATGATAATAGAAAAACCCTTCATGGATAATAAGGGGTTAATATGGATTTCATATCATTGCCACAAATATAAGTAGGTATGATGGAAATAGATTTTTTTTATAAAAACTTTTTTTGTCCCCATATGGATATGACGATTGTATAAGCAGTAACAAGTAACTGTAATCATTATTTAATTATGTTTTCATCACTTGCACTTTTCATCTATTATTATCACTTATTTCTACAAGCAACTTGTTTAAGGTAAGAGAAATATCAAAGGATAAGTAAAACACATTTAATCACAATTATTGTTATTATGACAACACAAACATTAAAAAAAATGTTAATTGCAAAAAACATAGTGATATTATGTACTACAATTTCATAATCAGCATAATAGTATTTCTAAGATTCACCTTTCAAAAAATAAACATACAGCCCACCAAAATCTTATGGTTTCCAATTACTAACAACATATTATTAAATTCTGTAGTTCAAAAACTGGTTTACATGTATGCTTATGAAACTGATAAAACTAGAACTTTTTTACAATTCTTACCTTTAGAATAATGATAGTTAAGTAAACTTAAGTTTCTGCTGATTTTGTTTGTTAGATAAATGAAATACTTGGATAAGCTTTTCTTTATATCTGTTTAATAAACATTAAGTCATCCTCTAGGCAGCTAGAGTATTATGGGAGAATATCATACTTTACAAGAGCATTTTTTCCAAATATTTCCATTTTGATATTCTTGTGAAGAAAAGAATAATAGATCATTTTATGAAAATTATTTCTGCATAAACTATTCTTAAAGCAATACAAATCTAAAATCATAAATAATATTCAACATTAAACTGGTACACAATTAAAAACATTTTATTTAGGCCTATCTATGGCCTTCAAAAAGTAGACGACTCTACATGTTTCGACGTTACAACGTCATCCTCATCTGTTTGATGACAGTTTATACATAGTTAATGATGGTCTGCAGTACTCATTGGTTCTGATTAATTGGTTATCACGTGCAAGTATTATATTAAAACATAATATAATCATTATACTTAAATACTTGTACTTTATCACATTTAATGAACATTCAAATTCTACTACTTTTTGGGAAGTAGCTGAGAAGCTCTTGTCAGCTTATATATGCTAGGTATAAAAAAATTATGATGCAAATGAAGTTTTATAAGATGAAAACAATTACCATAGAAACTTACATATCCTTGAGTGATGAAACCATATTCTATTCCAATGCACTTCATAACTGTTAGCAACAGAGGCATAACAGCAAATTGGTAAATGGCAAGTTTTACAAAATAAAATTTTCTCCTGAAAAGAAGATAACAAATAATCAGGTAGTTGAAATGAGTAGTACATGTTTGAAATCAAGTTTTAGTTAACTCTGCAATTGACATAAAACAATTTTACACTCAACTTGTTTATTAAATTCATAAAACAGAATAACAAAAGGTACAAGAATAAGTCAGTTTTTAAAAAATAACAAAGATTGTACATCACTTTCATCAACTATTTCTAAGCATCTTCATGAAATACACTATTAACATTGTGTGAAAGACTCTTAATTACTAACAAAGCAAAACCAAAGTATACAACTGCAAAACTTTTAACTATGAAGCTTATATTATAAAAAATGAAACACATTCATATCCACAAGCTATCACAATGTAATAAAATTTGTTGAAATAAGCTTCAATTTTAGAAGTAGATGTAATATGAAAAATATTTTAATTTCACCTCATATAAGAATCTCAAGATTTGTGTAGAACAAATGTATTAGATTGTCAAGAAATTAATGTCACTTTTTTTAGATGAAAAAACCCAAACAACTTACATATCAAAACAAAACATTTATTAAATGAAATAGTTTCCATTCTTATCAATGATGCTTTTCCATTTTACAATCAGGTTGTTAATGCCCTGATTAAAGAAATTACTTGGCTTTGAAGCAAAAAACATGTCAATGTCCTCTTTAACACTTCCACATTTCCATACGTTTTCCCATTAAGATAGTGTTGCAGCGAACGAAAAAGATGGTAATCTGATGGTGCCATATCTGAAGAATCTGGTGGGTGGGGGAGAAATTTCCAACCCAACTCCATAATCTTGTGTTGTGTCAAACATGCCACATGTGGACATGCATTTCCATGGAGAAGAACACCTTACCGATTGATGAATGAAGGGCTTGATTTAAACATTCCAGTTGCTGACTATAGATCTCTGCATTGAAAGTTCGTTCTGAATTGAGGAGTTCGAAATGAATTACTCCTTTGATGTCCCACTGAATGCAAAACATCACTTTCTGTGGATGGAGTCCAGGTTTTGGGGTCGAAAATGGTTTTTGCCTAGGACTGAGCCACTGTTTTTAGCATTTAATATTCGCATAGAGAATCTATTTTTTTTATCATTGATGACAATTCTGTCCAAAAATGGTTCACGCACATTACGCACCAGAAAAGACGAAGCAACATTCACACGTTGGAAACGATGATCATCGGAGAGTTCGTGAGGTACCCAAACACCTTCTTTATGGAATTTTCCCATATTCCTTAGATGTTTACATATTGTTTCATGAGAAACATGCAATTTCAGGGCCATTTCCCAAAATGCAATATTAATTTCTTGACAACCTAATCTATCTTTCTTATTTTTCTAATTATTTAATTGGAAATATACAAGTTTTAATTGTAATTTATGTCTTTTAAATTAGTGACATTGGTTTGTAGCGATTAGCTTTTTGTAAATCACTTTTTAAATCAACCTGGTATTAACTCAAAAACAATTTAATAAAAACATTATTCTTTAAAGCAGTGATGTGTGTTATTTGTGTTCATATTAAATGTGTTATGTTGGAAGGAAACTTGTGAAACACTGCCATTATATTGTAGTGGTACAAGCATTTCCCACAGGAATAATACACAAAACATGTACATTAATGAATGTGTGTATGAACGATCAAGCCATAATAATGAATACAAAAACATCAATTCCTCATGCACAGAATGACATGAATTGATTCATCTATTTATTCTGCTTGCTTTTATAAGCATTTAAATTATGAAGCTGGTAAAAGCCAAGTCTTATAAAGGTTTAGGACAGCATTTGTAAAAAGCACTATAAACTTGTATCAAATTTAAAATGGATGACCAATTAAGCTGTTTAAAGTACGTTGGTTTACTTATACAATATTATTATTGGCTGTTCAATATATTTAACAATATTCTAATGTAATAAATTAAAGAATAAACCATTCATATACAAACAATATTAAAATTTTAGATAATTCCACCTTGTTAATGGAACTTTGGGACAACAGAAACACAGGCAACATAATGGAGGGCCTTGTAACACCATCTCTCTTCCATACAGCTTTCGTAACATATTTTTATCACCATCACCGTAGGCGATTACAAGCCTGAAGTACATCAAAAGAGAGGCATGGAGGTAACTGAAACATATAGCATGATATTTATTAACATACTATGAAAAAATAACTACATGTTATTTGAGTAATCTGGCCTTCCTAATACAGAAATTAAATGATTGTCACATTTCATATTACTTACATATTCATACATACAATAAATGTATAGAAATAACAAAAACCATGTTGAATTACAATTATGTCTTATACTGAAATTTTAAGGCCCATTGTGCATCTCCTTACAAATTTTAAAGACAATTTAAAAAGTACACTCACAGGAGTATTAAAGACTTTGAAACTTCTGCTAATCTGGGAAAAATCATAGAAACGAAGAACCCACCCGCAGCAAACTGGAAGAAACAAAAAAAAAGATCATTAAAAAAATAAGATCAAAATATTTGTTTGCTTAGTGAATTTCACACAAAGTTACATGAAGTCCATTTACACTCACCGTCCCTTATTTAGAAGTGGTAGACTAGAGGGAAGGGAACTAGTCAACAGTATCTACCACCAACCCAAGGGGTACTCTAATCGAATAGTGGAATTTGACTATCACTCTTATAATGCACCCACTAAGAAAGGGCAAGCAAGTTCAGTGATCAGATTTCAGCGTGTGACCAACAGAGTGTGAGTCGAGTGCCCTAACCACCAGGCCAAAGACCAAAATAAGTGTGAAATTTTTTCTTACAGAATATTATTATACATGAAACATCATAAGCTAAAATACTACATAGAATTAAATTAAGTCTAAACTCACAAATATGCTTTATAATTTTATAGACAAGAATGTTGATATCCATCCTAAATAAACCAATTTCTTGTTTTCCTTTCAAAAATAATATTTAATAACCTCAGAAAGTTTGTATTGATCCTTGAATATAAAGTAAATCAAATTCAGAATAAAAATATTTACATATGTATTTATGTTTTTCCCTTAAAACACGAAATATTAGTGGAATCGTAATATCGATAGAAAATTTTCAAATATAAACACACACAAATATTTTATATGAATAATATTATTTGACTCTGATTATTTTACAAGCTTAAAATTCAAAACTGATAAAAGATCTCTAAATTCACTATAGCCACAAACTAAATGTGTTAAACAACTGGCATCATATTCCAAACATATCTTGTTATAGTACAGAATTCTATAGATTCAATGAAGCTAAGCCAATTATTACAGATATTGTTTTCTCAACACTGATCTAAGATACAAAGAACTTTTCATTGATATTTTACTAGTGTAATTATAAATGATTAAAAAAATGACTGACACAACTAATTCTCTCGATATAAGAAGTTCAGGAAAGAAGTTCATTGTAAATTGAATTATTCTATCCAACTACTTCTGAATGAAACTTTATATGACAGATAACACATGTTAAACTGAAACCTTCTGAGACAATTATGAATGATAAGTTGTTTTAAGACAGATTAAGGTGAAGGATAATGACCCATTCTGAATGTTGGCACATACTTCATTCAACTATGTTAGTTTAGATGCAAGTTATAAAACTACAATGACAAGCCACTTCATTAGAACATTCACTTAATAGTGAGTTGGCCATTCTTTTCTCCATTACTGCATTGAATAGATTCCATTAGATACCAAATAATGTCCAGTTTGATAATTTATTTGTAAGATAAAAAAAAAGTCAGCAACTAATTTACAAATATTGGCAGAGTATTATGGTATCAAATGTGGCAATAATATTCATTCATACACAATTGGATTAACATATGCAAGATGATTCTAATAAAGTGATCTGTCAGTTTACTATTTCAAATTAGATCGGTGTAAGTTTTAAAAGATCTTTAGAGTAATGAAGAGGTTCAATTATGAAACTTGTAAGCTTCCATTGTTGGAAAATTAAAAACTACAAGTTTGTGTAATAATTAACTGAAATAGCTTTGTTTGTTTGTAATTAAGCACAAAGCTACACAATGGGCTATCTGTGCTATGCCCACCATGGGTATTGAAACCCGGATTCTAGCGTTGTAAGTCTGCAGACATACCGCTGTGCCACTGGGGGGCAACTGAAATAGCAGAAGAAGAGTAACGATGTAAGCAAGAGTTAAACACTTTAGTGGAGTAGGGGTATACAGAGTTTCTAATTTCAGTTTTCTTTGGTCTGTAATTCATTTGAGTTATTTATTTTGAACATAAAGAATGTCCTTCATTTTTTAAAGACCTCCTAAGTTAGGACTTGGTCAATAGTTGAAATTACTTTTCAGTACAATTTTATAGCTAGTAGTGCAACATGTTCAACTTAAACACAAACATTAGTTTTTATCAGTATGGGTTAATTTTTTTCTTCTCTCTTTGTTCCTTTCATCCTGTACTATTTTATTTATGCACAGTTACCTGATGCAGCAACTGTGTTTGTACATAAAAATTTTATTTAGTCTATGGGTGGTTTTATATTGATGAGTTTCTTAGAGTTAGAAAGGAAATTGAAGAATTTCAATTCGGTTTATGGTTGTAGTGACAAAAGAAAAAATAACAATGGATTACTTACTGAATGAATTTGATAACAAAGCTATTTTTAAAGAACAAAATAAAGTGGTTCTGAACACAATAAAGACAGCTATACTGGCACAAGTCTTAGGAACATTTCTAAAACACGTGCAAATAATGTACGGGGGACTCTGCATTATGTTGGCTTATGAAAGAAGTTTATCTTTATGGTAATAAGGAAATACAGGTAGAGGAGATTGACTTTAGTGTCCAGAGTGAGATACAGTAACATTTCAATGTTCTGAGTATAAATGAGGAAGCAAATGCTCAAGAACTTTGGAGCTATGTGTCCATAATCTAAAGATGTTATTTTTAATTAACAATTAAACTGGAAATTATAAAGCTGTAAATGATGTTGCCTTTCAGGTTTTCTCTGCAGATATTACTTAATATTGAGGAGGGAGGGAATTCAGTTATCAAGCTTTCTAACTGTTCATAGAAGTTCTTTTCTAGTTGAAAAATAATGGAAAATGTTTAATGAATGATGATGATGGTGACTTTAAAGATAACATCTTGCAATAGATTAGTTCTTAGGACTCAGAACACTGGGAAGGAGAACAATGACTTTTTTCATCTTTTGAATGTATTTAGAAGAAATATTCACACTGAATATTCAGTGCTTAACCTTACCTAAATTCATGGGGTCAGTCCAAAGGATCAAGCCCATATCAGATAATTAATGTTTACTGTAATTCCAAATTCAGTTATTGTATCTTCATGACATTTGGTATACTTCCAGTACACAGAAAAATCAGAATTTTTATTAAAGTATTTATACTAAAGATTTGTCCCTTAATTTACTTTAACCAATCTTACTCAGACTCTGACTAGTCTTAGTGCAAGATGGTTTTATCAAGTTAAGAATAAAAATACTCTTTTTCATCTTACAATTTTTAAATTTCATAACCTATAGAACCTCTTAAATAGATATCAAAAGACTTTGGACTAAAACTATACATTTTATCTATTATTTTCTCTACCGTAACTCCATATGGGATCTGTCCATTTTACCAACCTTGTAACCACCATAAAAAAAAATCTAAACCACTTTATTTTCTAGAATGTCTGCAGATTGTAACAGAAAATTACATTTATTTATCCTAAACAACTTCAGGCTCATAACAGTTTACATCTTTTTTTATTTAATTTTATTGTTTTATTTCTCTTTGAAATCATATCTAACTAATAACCCACATAACAAAGCTATGAACACCCAGCAAGCAAATAGCTCAAGTTATGGTAACACAAAAACACTGAATTATGTAACACACATACAGCTTGCATGCATATCTCACTGAAAATTTTAATTTTTTTTCCATTTATATTTTCTTATTTAACTTAACAAGTTTCTAATTTTTAAATGTTAATTTCATTCATAATGATATATAAAAATTGGATAAAAAAAAGAAATTTAGTATTTAAGTTCAGATCTTGTATTTTTTTCCCATTTGAACTCTTGATGAACGTTAGCCCTAATTTTTAGTTGGGTTATTGTTAGTTCTTTAGAGAAATTTCATTTATTTCAAATATTCAATTAAAATTACAAAATAATAACATGCACAAATAATATAATGTCCTATAATTATTACAGTTTAAGTGGCTTTCTAACAAGCTATACATGTGTTAAAATATTTCCCTTACTCAATTGAGTTGAATTTAGCAACAGCAACTTTGAATCTGTACATGCCAAATAATTTAAAAGCTTAGTGAGAACAAGCTAGCCTATTAAGTAATTCAGTAAATTAAGTTATTTTTCTTTCTGTTGGTTATAAAAAATGTGTTAGCAATCATCAGAGAGAATTACTTACATATTTGAAAGACAGTATGTGATAGAAGGGTGTGGCATATGGGCTTTACTTCTGGTTTCTATCTGTAATCAATGATGGCTGGGGCTATAAATTATATTTTGCCTTAGCAGTATTTATGCTATAAGTCTGTAATTTGTATTAAGACTCAGAATCTCAAATGAGGATGGAAAGGATATCTAAAATCAGCAATTTGGAGCAAATATGTCATGTGATATAAAGAAGTGA